GTCAAAGATCGTCATTATATATAGGGAAATACAAATTCGTGGAACTTTGTAGCTGTCCAAGATATTTTTAGAAAGTCATAATATGATTTTTCGTTTTTACTACTCAACTGGGTGACTTTTATTTGACTCCCAAATGTTTTAAAAGTAATTTCTATATTAGCAGTGACTTGTACTAGAAAGGCCGGAAAATTAACAAATAGAAAAAAATGTACTTTAATTTTATGAAATGGAAATAAAATAAGACTTGAATGTTTAAATGTAATATGTTATAATAAAAATAATATAATCGAAGATAATATAAGATATTAATTCTCCAAAAACATAAGTGAATCCAGACGCAAGTTTTCCAATTTTTTTGTATGTATAGGAATTTAAGTAGATATTTTTTTCTATTGATACCTAATAAAGCTTACAGTAAAATTCTGCAAGAGTAGCGTAAATACAATATAATTCTCAAGAGATTATCCAAAAATATTCGATATTGCCAGATGCGATTTAATTACAAAAGAAAAAGACAAACACAATATATGTTTGTTCAGAATTACATATTATTTTTTTAGTTTTAAACAAATAGGGATAGTTGGCCACAATGAGACAAATAGATGTTTTTAATTTTTGTTAAATAGCCAAATCTGACAAATCACAAGCTGAGCATTATTAATGAAATTTTTTCATTGTGGCCCACTCACGGGTTTCAGTAAACCAGGCAGTACGTCACATTGAAACAACGTAGATTTACATCGTTAAATCCTGTTAAAACTTGCAGGATGACCGAAGTCTTTTTGTTTTTTCCAACCAAGTGGATGCTTGTAGTATTACTTTTATGTCATATCTCATATAGTGATCGGTATGCTACGTCCTGAATAATAGGGAATAGAAAGTCTCGTTTCTCTTTCAAACTTTTTCTGGGGAAATTATAATTTCTACATCCTATTGAAAACAGTTTCTCTTACATAACCTTTCCCATAAAATACACTGCTCTTTTTGCTTTGAAATGCAGTAGCAACGAAATCACCAAGCGTGGTAACTGTATCCAGTTTACCAAATCCAGAATGATTCAAAGCCGGAGGCTATTCTACATCCTCATCCGAATTCTTCTCTTAAAAGGAGAGCTTGGAACTTCTTCACACTATAGTACGTCACCTGCTTTTGGTTTTTTTACGTAAAATTGCATAAAATTTATTTATACAAATCTTGCGTTGCTTTTGAGTTTCTTTTATCTCAGTTGTCCTCTTGTTATTTTGGCACTGCACTATAGAAATGGTCATAGTATCATAATTCTCCAAATCCTTGGCCTTCCCCTCAGTAATACGTGCAATCTTATGTAAGGATTTAGCCAGGGACGGCAGGGACACCGCCCGAGATCTCAATTCTGAAATTATTATTGTCGGCTGTCGGTATCCCATAATTCGATATGGCAACAATTATTAATAGTGTAAGCTTTATTAAGACAAATACTTTGGACTTCGAAAAACGTTTGAATATAAAACAATTAGAACCTCCTAGACCAAAATTGGACATAATTCATGCGGTAATAAAACTTTTAATCGAAAATTCAACGAGAAACATTATTTGCTATTAAACATGTTTCAGAGAAAATTAAAAAACAGCATTAGCTCTAAACATATCCATTATTGTATTGAATACCTGTTATTAGAGGTCAGTAAATATTCAATCACAGTTAGATTCGGTTTTTAAAAGATCAATAAAGGAACATAACGAGATAGTAGCCAAAAACAGGTATGTTTTAAATAGAATAATCAAGTGCATTACATTTTGCGGAGCGTTTTTTTGCTACCTCCATTTTGAGTACCTAAAATTTGGGTTTTAGTTTAATTTAAAGTACTAAAAATAGCAGTGCCAAAGATTCAGGTATCTATTATCCTATAATAGGCACTGCAGAACTACAGTCAACAGTAACACATTTTTCTAAAAAATAAAGGCAATTAAATAATATAAACGTAACAAACATTTCTGAAAAATATAACTTAAGAACTGTGAGGGCAAGTAAACTTTTCATTGTCATATTTAGTGAGCCCTACACAGGCCTTGTGAATATAACGATAGCACACTATGTACAATCGCATATCTCCTTTACAAAGAAAATGGATGCAGATTTTACAAAGAAAACAATATCAAGATTTTTCATTACTTGATTTTTTGTCGTACTGCTCGTTGCTTTTTTCACAACTTTGATTGTATTATTCAATTTTGGTATTGCTGCTAATAAATCATTGGTAACTTGATGGGTTTAACTGTTTAAAGCTGGCTTTCTCTTTACCGTGGATAATTTGATTTCCGGTTTAATCAGCAATCCTGTATTTTTAAAAGAACTGTTTAAGCATTTGTAGTAAGAAGTTTTTACTTGATTAGACCCCGGATTACATTTTGTTGTTTCTTTTATAACCGATTGCCTTTCTGTTTATATTTTAATTCAATTAGTAGAGCTGCTGCTAGTTTTAGATTTTTCATAGGTACATCTTAACTAAAGACATCGTCAAGTGAGTCATCGTAAAGACTAAAATCTGATAATTCGCTACTTGAGACAGTAATTAAACGTTTCTTTTTTTTGTTATTAGTTTTCTCTGGTACATGATATCCGCTTGTACTCGCCTCGTCTTATATACGGGTTCAACCGACTTGCTAGAACTTTTAACATCTGATAAATCTTGGAAGCTACTGTGATTTACTGCGTCTTCTTCTCTGTGAGTGATCAAACGTGGTGCAAAGGCAACTATAGCGTCTGGTTTAAACAGATAAATGCCGGTAAATGCAAAACCGGAGATAATGTTTGATGGTGTCATTGCTTCTAGCTAAAATAGAGTAAAAAATTTCTCCAAACCTCATTTTGGTAATCGCCTTGCCAGGGTTTGTTAATAAAAACTGTAGAACTTCTTGGTCCCAAAATGTCTTAAAGCTTTTAAACACTGATTTGTCCATAGGTTGCAACTCGTGTGACGTGTTGCTAGGAAGACAAAAAAGTTATATCCATGCGGTTATCTGCCTCAACTATGGAAATATCTAGGTGACTTTAAGCTCCATCAAATATTAATAGGGTATTACCAGGGTTTCTGAATGAAAAGAAATGTCATCAATGAATATTATATTCATTTTTTGGGCTCGAACCATATTCATTAGTTGAGCTTTTCGCCTAGCTACATCTAGATGGCTGCACAAAATTTAATTACTTAAGCCATATTCTACCAGCTTTATTTGACTCTTTAGAAAACGGATTTGGTATAAGATTTGATGTAGTGTAAGAAAACACACTTTTCATTAGAATCTTGCTTGTAATAGGCATACCTACTTCAACTAATGTGTAAATTCTTTCAACAAGATCATTTTCTTGTGATGCAGACAACACCGGTGATCTTCCAAGCTTTCTTACGGGATTATGTGTTCTGTAATAAAGACCTAGAGTTGGGCGAGGAATGTTATAATGCTTGGCAGCCCCTTTGATTGACACTCCGATCGCTATGATTTGCAGCGCCGAGCGTAGATCTCCTTCTGATCACTCAGCTCGTTTTCTTGGCATGCTTCAAAAGAGTTTAATATTTAGTCTCTAATATTGTCACTGGCAATATTAGGAATTATTTATAATGGCAATATTAGGAACAAATGACGTTTAGAAAACAAATCCGTGAGTTAAAATTTCATTTGAAATAATTCATGCAATTCATAAAATAATAACCACTGGAGTGTACTGACCTAAACTTAATTACAAAAATTCAAAAATTTTTATTATATCTTGCGCAGGGTCAACGGGAAAATCAGGTTTATTTATATATACCATACCTATATATACCACATACCTTATATATACCTATATACCATAGACTAAAACCGCCGAATAGAAAACACATTGCTGATATACAAAGACACTTGCAACTGTTGCTAACTTAGTTGCAGCGTCGATACTATCTGTAATATGGGGGTGGCACTATTAAGAATGTAGCAATATGTAGCGCACCTACCTTATTTTTAGAACGAATTCCGAAGTGGAGATTCAAACGTCAATAAACTTATGTTAACCTTTAATTGTGGCTTATTGCTTGTAAAATAGTAATTAGATCGTATCTCTGTCGTTGGTCCGGTTTAACCCACAAACCCCCTCTGAGTGCGCCACAGTGGCTCTAAGAGGTCACTATGAAAATTTGGCATCTACTAATTCTGGAGTATTTTGGGGACTTATCAACGTAATGGGAGAAGTTGACACTATATTGCAAAAGATTTAACCGAAAATAATACAATTTTTTTGTGAACTTCAAAAACTATTCAAAACGAATTGCTGAAATCAATATTATATGTCGCTCGTGGATTAATCAGTAGAGAGGTAAAAATGGCTCCTTATGAGGCAGTCGAGGCCAATGAGACCACTACGCTTCTAAAAGGAAACCGCCACTATTAATCTTATTTCAATTTGGGATACCTTTAGTTATTTTTGGAGACGGTTTTTGTATATTTAAAAAATCCTAGCTTTCAACATTTAAACCATATAACTAAAAAAATTCATATACATTTTTTATCATTACCGCAACTGTAAATACGGACTAGTAGCCACTCCAATTTCAAGAAGGATTTCTTGACCTAGCTTCAGTGTTTATTATTTGTTATTACTAATATTATTTTGCTAATATACAAAGATGTTATTTAATTACACATTTGATCATTAAAACTAAACCACCATAAACAAAAGTTGTTATTGATTTTCTTTAATTTATCAGTTAGGTTAACCACCTATTTAATTTCCCCGTACTACTTTTCATTTGATAAGATACAGACCACAAGGAAAAAATAAACATTAATAAAATAAGAATAAAAATAATTTTATTTATTCTGGTGAAATAAAAATAATATTTGCACCATCAAAATGATTTCAATTACAAAGAAATTTCTTTTTAATTGTTTTTGGTATTATTGGTCGTCAAAGGTCAAAATTGTCAATGAAAACACAGCAGCGCAGTGACAGCGACAGCACGTACGAAAATTTGAAAAATGATTTCTGTCATAGATACATATTGTTTTTCTAATTATTAAAAATAATGGAAAATTGTGAAATTTTGGTTTCTGAGCAGAATATTTCTGTAGGGGATGCCTCGTTCTATGTTAAAAAACCTGGTAAAAGTTATATTCAACAAATATAATTATTTAGCTAACCCAACTTTTTGTAGGTAAAAATGAAATAATACATATAAATAAGACTGGATCAATATCTCTAACATTCCGAAGTGTAACTAATTTTATTCGTGAGATATTTCTACCTGTTGGTTATCCTGAAAGCGTTAGTGAAGACTACTGGAACTATCAAGTATGGGATACAGCCCAGGCGTTTTGCAGTACTATTATTGGAGCTTTTACTACCAGATCTATTCTAAAAGGTGTTGGGGTAGGAAATAAAGAAGCAAACGCCTTATCAGCAGCAGTAACATGGATTCTGAAAGATGGAATGGGTATGATAGGAAGAATCATTTTTGCTTGGTGGAAAGGGTACCTATATATTAATAATTTTTATATACTCCAGAAAAATAATTGTGAGATTAATTGAGATCAATAAACAGGACTCAATCACTATGATATTAAAGATCATGTGTCACAATTAAGTAGGTTACGAATATAAATTCTTTTTTTAAATTTACTAATGGTAAAGAATCAGTGAAAATGCACAATCTACCCTTTATTTCACAATAATCTAACTATCTTTACTAAATTAAATAATTAACAAATCAACTAAAAAAGATTTAGAAAAGTAAAAAAGAAATATTAAGGGATGAGAAATGGATAATAGAAAGTTTTTTCAAAATATGAAATTAACAAACATATGTTTTATAAACAGTATATAATTTAAAATCTCTTTCGGGTTAAATCACAGAACAATTAGTGGTTTAACTCATGTGCACCTAGTAATAAAACACTGATGATGGGTTTTTGAGTCTGAAAACATTCTGTGATGTAACCTGAAAGGGATTTCAAATTATATACTTTTTATAAAGGATTTTAAATAAACTTTTGTGATTGATGGTATACAGCCAACTACAGGAATTTCATTTTCCTTGTGGAAACATATGGATGGCCTGCTTCCAAAAGTGGCTAACCATGATACTATGACTATAAGATAAGATATTGCGCATGTTTTTGTGACGTCATTGGAGACTTGCACGTTCGAAATGTCAGTTTTTGTATATATCAATAAAATAATCTTTAATAAATAGTTTGGAGATATCCTTATGTGTACGATTATTGTAATTATTAAACCTCTTAACTTATTTTCGTCTAGTAATTTCATCACAGAATGCATACAAATCTCATTTAACTTTAACAAGAATTCAAATTCTAGTCTCCAATGACGGCATGCGCGAACTCGACCGATTTTGAGCTAAGGGAAGATCCTATCTTGTTATTCATAGTATCAATTGGCTAAATACAAAATTTTTGTTTTCAATTAAATGAAATTTTAAGTTTAAATGTGTCGATCAAATCAAATCTTTCAAATCAAATTATTGTTTCTCCATAAAATATTAGGTATACTCAGTTCGCTATTCCCAGTCCGAACTGTGTAGTGAATTTAGTAATTATTTTTTTGCGAAGTTAGTTACTTTTTCACAGACTAAAAGTGGCTGGAAATTACTAGACAACCAAGTACACATACTTATAGACAATATTAATAGTAAACAAACTAAATAGTACATAAAATAGAACTTTGCGAATTATGACAATCAATATTTATTTATCTGCACCATATAATAAATAGTTAAATTATAACAACTAAAATATATTTTTTAAGTATATACTACCCAAAATTTAATGGGTTTAGTATACACTTCCACTATTTAGAATAATTCTTTTTAAAGAAAGAAGTCTGCAATAGTAGTATACTTGAGCTATTAATACTGAGAAGTAGGAATTTTTGTGTTATAGGTTTCTGACAATGAATTGGTCAAAATATGCCAGAGCTTAGCAAATGGAGTATAGTAATACTGAGAAACACTTTAGATATAAGAATAGTTCTTAAAATTATTCTTCTGGGGATGGTTTTTCGTAATAAAATGCATGTAGCTACATTTGGAACTTAACTTTATTTTAAATTGAACAGTACAATATTACGATAGTAAAATTTATAAAAATAAGTAATAAATAAACAACAGTGTAAACTTCTTCTAAAATAAATAGTTAAAAAAATCTTGCTCTTCCTGGTCATTTATAACAGTTAATTCTGTATTATCCTCAATATTTGGATCTCCAATTAGGTCTCTATAAAAGGCTCTGTAATTGTCGGAAAAATTTGAGGCTTACTGATATCTTTGAAGTTTTGCAGCTGATATTTTTCTTTTTTCTTCAAACAAAGGCTTTTCCCTTCAGTGCTCATAGCAAGACAGAGTGGAACTAGTTTTTGCATTAGTAAAATAATTGGAGTATTTATTATTTTTCTTCTAACAGTCGTTTTTGATACTTTATATTGAATTCAATATGAAATTAACCTTTTTAGGATTCATTTTTTTTTTCAATAATGCTTATTTTCAAGTTTCTTTAGGTTTTGAAATATATCTAACTACAAATACAAGTACTATACTAAAATAAAATATTACAAATATATTTATATTTATATTTAATGGTATATGTGACAATACAGTAGGAAAATTTAATATAATAAAATTATAAAGGTAGAGTATGTTTCAACTGTAGTGGCGGAAATTTCTAGAAACAGTAAAGCCTCACCAAACAAAGCAGTGGCGTTCCAAAAAATACTTATGATTTAAATCAAATTGTTAAAGATTGTTACACACAATTTATTAAACAATGATATTAGATTATATTTTTGGCAATATGATACTACATTTTAATACATATTACTGTAATATATCACATACATATATTGTCTATATGTGAAACTATAGATATGTATTACAGATTACAATATTAATTACAAAGATTGTTTGAACTAAAACCTTTATTATTTATAATATTACTCTCTTAAATATCACAAACAAAGTTAAATAGAGTAATATATGAAATGATTGTAATAAAGTAAAAAAATAATACATACATACAGAACAGTTTGGAAAACTTATATTCACATAGGTTACATAAGTACCTCCTAATGTTAAATTATATTATTCATTTTCATAATAAAATGCACTGTCGTTGTCACTAGAATCATTTAAAATTTAAATCAATCCTTAATTCTTCAGTAATTACATCTATGCAATGTTCACTTTCCAAATACTTATCTTCAACCTTGACAACATCACTTTCTTCCAGTTATCTACAGTTACTTTAGCCAATTCCTGTTCAACAAACACTTTTACATCTTCTAACTTAAAATAAATGTTTTGTTTTGCAACTTCATTTTTTATTTGCGCCCAAACCAGTTCTGTAGGGTTCAAGTCTGGATGATATGGTGGGAGTTTTAAAGAAACATGTCCAAATTCTTGCAGCACTTTGTCAAATTTATATTGAATATGATCTAAATAGTTTGTGTAGTTTGATAATTTCATACAATTGCGGTTTTAACATTGACGTTACAAATGGTATTTTTTTTTTCTGTCAACCAAGATATCATATCCATTTTTTTAGAATTACTGATGGATGCTTTATTAATTTGTACATTATGATATGACAACATATTATCAGTGACAATAACAGATCCAACAGGCAAATTGGGAATTAATTGTTCTTTCATCCATTTTTCATAATTTTCTGAATTCATATCATCATGATAATCTCCTGTCTTAGCTCCTGACTGAAAAATCAAAAGATTATTCTATATGAAACTCGTCTCCCCACCACCATGTACATATGATAATCAACCTACTTCATTTTGAAATGTTTTTGAACAATCAAATAGGTTTCATCAACATATACAATTGACTTAACTTCGCTTCTGTAATATTTAATTTTGTCCAAATATTTAATGCGTAGAGCACGAATATCATTCTGTTCAATTAATAAACGTCGATTATCTTTCATTTTCTTTTATTTAAATCCCATATCTTTCAAAATTCTGTAGAGAGAACTCACATTTTCAGTCCACTCGTACACCTCTTCAAGCCCTTTCTGCAAAAGCTTCAATGATACATGACAATGTTCAGTCTCATGAAAACGTTGAATAGTATTTCTAATGGACTGTTTGTCAGACTCCCTCAATTCTATCATGGTTGCTTTCTTTTTAGCAAGTGTTGTAGCTGGAAATTTTAGTGTATTATTTGACTCTGCGGTTTTTAACATACTCGCTTGTTAAATGATCCTTTCTACTGTACGTAAAGATACTCCAGTAGCTTCACTCACACGTTGTTTAATACCGGTTCGATTATCTTCAGAAAATAGTACTTGCATATATTTAAATGCATTGTAACTATTCCTTTGGATTCTGGTATCAATATGATCTGTTTACTCGTACTACACTTAACCATCTCCATTCTACAAAATAGTTATAATACGCGTGGTAGCACCTTTCTTGTTGAGACTCGACAACATAATGAAATTATATTACGAACTCCAGTGCCTAAAAATTCTCGGAAATAATTCTTATCAGTTCTTTGTATGCCCTTAACGAATCATTAAGGATTCATTAATAATGATTTTATAATTACGGTTTTAGGGTTACTGATACTAAATTAGAAATTAACTTTTACCAAACTTTATAGAGTATCAATTATTAAAGATGGTAATAACAAACAAAAAGTTTGGTATCTATAAAACAATCTGTGTACTATCAAACTCCATTTATTATTTAAGTGAGTAATAATTTTGTAATTAGTGCAATTTCAAATAATTTAATTAGTTTAATATTGCAACGCCACTACATGGGTCTGATCACAGGTATTCTATTGTCTGCGCGATTAACTATTTCGTGGAAGGGCTCGCCATTCGATTTGAAATAAGCTGTATTAATGAGATTCTTTAAAACATTCAAAATTATGATAGTAATTAGTTTTTGGAATATTTATAACATAAAGTTTTATTCTTTTGTAGGAGCTTTTTGGATACAGACTGTAAAAAATGGAGATTCTTTGCTGATATTCTAAATGATGCTGCAATGTGTATAGAATTGTGTCTTCCATACTTTTCAAATTACTCAATGGAACTTTTATGTCTAACTTCTTCAATGAAGTCTATCGTAAGTGTATAAAAAGAACATCTTTTCAAAGGATATGCATTAGACAGTGCTAGATATAAAATTCTGATACATATATTTTATTCTTTTTGTCTTTATTTGTACGTGAATCAGTTTCTGTGATTACATTTCTCAATAAGCTTCTATCTCGGCTCATATCAATGTTTACCCCCTTCACAGACATATACTGCATAAACTTCTCTTATCAGCTTTTTTGGTCCTTCTCTCCAACTCCAGGAACTTGTGACTCAAAAATTCTTCATATTGTGCAATTGGGTATCGTTTTGACATTGCATAAACTCTATTTTAACTCAGCTCAGACACTCGGTCAATTTTGGCACATTGGTGCCACTCCTAGACTTCCCTAATAATTTCATTCTTAATTTTATTCTTTTTTTTTTCACTTATTATCCACCTAAGAATTCTCATTTCTTCTACATGTTAGTTGTTTTTCTTTCTTTTTAACTACTAAATTTTCAGTAGTACACCATGTTCTTATGGCAGTTTTATTAAATTGGCCTCAGTTGCTTAGCAATCTTTCTATAACCCAACACACCTCCTTTAATTTCATATCCATCCTCTATTCATTTCTACTGCGTGCAGATCAATCAATTTCCAGTTATTCTGTAATATTGATCCTAGGCACTCAAAATTTGTTCTTTTCACAATAATGTCACCATCCAAAGTAATCGTCTCATTTTTAGTAGTAATTTCGTCTTTAAATGAACATTCTAGATTCTTTGTTTTTCTCCTACCAAGTTTTAAGCCTTTTCTTTCAAGAGCTTGTCTCCACTATTTAAATCTTTTTTTTAAATATCTTCCAATACTTTCTATAAACACTACATCATTATGCATTAAGCTGCAGTGAATATTACCCCGTAGTTTCCCTGTTATCTCAGCAACATTAATGAGAATAACTCATAATAAGAACTACCGTTCCAATGGTATCATCTCCTGTATTTTGAGATTCGTTGCCATAAATTTTTCTTTCAAAAAATCCTTCCTGGAGGACCGGGTAATATGTTCTTAATCTGTTCTTTCCAATATATACTGTTTGTCTTTCAGGACTTGAGACATCGGTCTTCCCTTAATGTTCTTCTTCCTTCAGGACCATTGGGTAGACCATTATCTGCTCCATCCGCCATTTATCTCTATGTTTATTAAAATCATAATATTTCAGGTTGGAGTTGCGGGTGGTGCAACTAGGGCTTCAATAACACACCATCAGGCTATTAAAGATAACATGGCAGAAATATCTGCCAAAGATGGGACTCAAGAGACATTGGTGAATTTAGTGGGAAGCATGCTGAGCATTTATTTATTAAACGTATTCACTGACACCACGTAAGTATTTTAAACTTTAATTAAAATTATTTAAAAAGAAATAATTTATTTTGGTTATTACATGGAAGAGTTAAACATATAGTTTTATGATATGGTTCTTCCCAGAACCAAATGTGCATGTGTTATAAAATTAAAAGGGTATTGCAATTTGTTTTTTTACTTACTTTTGTATAAACTATTGTAAATTGGTTTATTTGAAATAACTAATTAACTGAAAGAACGGTACAATAAAATTACTATTTTGACAAAAATGAAATCGAGCATGTAATGATAAAATTGTAGTTTTCATGAACATTTTGGTGTTTGTGATTTTGAGTTCATTAGTAAATAGAAGTACAGAATAAAGTGTTAGATAAGCAAATATGCTTATCCAACAGCCCCTGAAGACATGATGGAAAAGTTGGCTGTTCAAACATTTATTGATGGTCTTCGTGATTATGAAATGCAGAGAACACTATGATTAGCTCGTCACAATATCTTGTCGATATCTTGTCCGCAATCCTCGAATACGAATCAGTGACTCAGGCCTCTGGCGGGTACGGTAAAGTTAGGACTGTAAAAGAGGAAGAAGACGAAGACAAACTTGACCAGATTGTTAATGTGATAAAAGGCATTGCCATGAAAAAAACGAAGACCATATGGTGCTGGAATTGTGGCGAAATGGGACACGCTGGGAGAAAAGGTTTACCTCGTCAGAAATATAAATTGTATTATATAAGTTATGTTTTAGTGTAAATAATGCTAACCCTCTAATGCATCAAATTTTGTTCGAGCTGAAAAATTCAGGAAAGTGAGATTTTGTACTTACGAACACAAATGTATTGAGGCAAACATTGATATTACTGCTAGGTGTACCTCTAAAAGGAAAAAACAGACATGAGCCTTGAGGCGGAACTTGTGCAGTAACCATGCATTAAGAGCGTAGGCGCAAAATTTCGGGCCAATGCTTTTTAAATCCATTCATTTTTTTCTAATCCTGAGAAAACTAATAAATATTTTTGAAAAATTTAAACGCAGAATGAAAGACTATATTACTACCGAAGGCTTAAAGTCCCTTAGAATATACAAAAAGTTTTTTTGAATGAGATATTTGAAATAAAAAATCACACTAAATTTTCTCTTCTTTTTCACCCCTGTACTTATTAAAATAAACATTATAGAAGTTTTCGGGGACTTTCGGCCCTCAGTAATAATGTAATCTTTCAATCTGCGTTTAAATTTTTCATAAATACTTATTAGTTTTCTCAGGATTCGAAAAAAACGAATGCAAAAGCATTGGCCCGAAATTTTGCGCCTACGCTCTTAATGTAACAGCATTTATTTTTTTTTAATTATTAAACTAAGCATATAAAAACATATTGAAATAATTGTTTATTATGAAAATCGTAAAAACATGTCTTTGTGGTTGAATTACATAAAGATAAATTGCATTTTATACAATATGCTTGGGTTTCGGATGTGCATTTTGGAAATTTGCACTGTTTTTTACCAGTACAGTTTAGGTTTTGTTTAGGTGAACAACTGGAAGGTCGGCCAACAGGTCGTTTGACTGGAGCCATGCCACACTAGTAGAGCGATTCAGCTACTTGTGGTCTGAACACCGGTAACTCAATTTTTTCGGTTAGGGGATGAATCCTGTGATACACTAGGTAAGCGTTGATCACCGCCACATCTATGAGGTAGTAAAAAATACGATTATTCCATTTTCTGGTCTTCATATGAATGCGATACTGACCTAATAGGGCATCCATCAAATTAACACCTCCCATATGCCGATTATATTCTTTGATGATCTATGGGCAAACGATTTCATCGTGAACTCTTTTTTTTCTGTCCCACCGTCTAATTTTTTGGGACTGTACGCTATCATTTTTGGATGCAAATGGTTTCACGCCAACATAAGTCGACAAAATTTGCACATATTTTGTATCGTTCCACAATACAGAGGTAATATCTATACCATATGCCTTACCAACAAATTCTTCTGAATAGTCACGGACAGCTTTCTTCTGTTGCAAATCAGCGTCGGTCGATAATAATTTGCAATTGGGTACTCTGTTTCTTCTCATTGTTCCCAAGCTGTATATTCCTCTACTTCGGAGATAGGTAAGGACGCCCAAAGACGTATAGAAATTGTCAAAGTATAAAATGTGATTTACGAAACTTGGAATGTGCTTTGAAAAGCGAACCACAACATTCGAGGTCTACCCAAGATCTGGAGTCTCGTCCAAGATTATGATGTCTCCTGCACCAGTGTAAATTTCAAATGAATACGAAAATCCAGAAGTGTCACAAAGGCATAACAATTTAAAGCCCCACTTATGTGGCTTGTTGGACATATATTGTCGGAGGTTACTTCCAGAGGATCGTATCCAGGGTTACCCCTTTCCACAGCTACTGAGTTGTCATTATAGTGTAGGTACCGGCGTATGGATTCAATAAGAAGCAAAGTCATAGTCTGACGAATTGGCCCAAAAGAGTGTTTCCCTAATATGATCGGACATTCGGATAGTGAAGAATATCGTCGGACTGGATGCTGAATTTTGTTTGTATATCACTTTGCCGAGCGTACAACTTTGTTTGCTCCACTAGATGATCAAGCATTGTGTCGTCAAGAAAATAAAGAAAACATTCGTATGGAGTGGCTAATTTCTTATTTTTGTTCTAGAAACTGCTTTTGGCCCCGAAACAATAGATTTACTTTCCCAAACAATAGATTTAAATTCGCTAGAATCATTTTTCATGGCAACAACATCACCTGTTACACCACGAACTGCTACTTCTGGACCACCATCTTCTTCCGTTAATTCTGGCGTTCGAGGACGTTTCTGTCGCCGAAAAGGTTGTGAGGCTCCCTGCACTGGAATTTCCTCAGACAAACTTGGTGCTTGCGATACCTCTGATACCCCAAGTTGATCTATATTGGATTGCTCTTGAATTATCTAGGCTACTGTTGAAGCTGCACGATCCTATTCCATTTGATCAGCGCTTAAATCAGCAGCATCCTCAGCAACAGGATCAGCTAAACTATCGTTACCATCAGAATCATAGTCACTCTCAATATCTGTTGCTTCAGCATCAGCAGCAGGTATATGATCCAATATCTCCCAGATTTCTGCATCAGTCACAACGTTTTAGTAATAAGCCATCAAATAAATTTTTACTACGCCAGAATATCCCTACAGACCATTAGTCCGCCTACAGGCGGAGTATGGAAAATGGAACATAAGAAAAATCTCGAAAATGATTCAATTCAAATCAGATAAAAAATGTGTAATAGAGGTATTTAGCTACTCACTTATAATTTTTTCTACCTCACTTAGCGTGTAACAAACAAGTACTTATTTGACTAAAAATATGTATTCGCCTATAAATCAAAATGTGCACATTTATGCAATCGATTTTGAAAAAGCTTTTGACAAAGTCCGACATAACAAAATGCTAGAAATATTGGAAACAGCTGGATTGGACGATAAAGATCTACAAATAATTACAAATCTATACTGGCATCAAGTGGCAAGAATAAAGGTTGAACAAGAACTGTCGGATGAAATAAATATAAAAAGAGGAGTGAGACAAGGCTCTATATTGTTGCCTTTATTTTTTAACCTATATTCGGAGGAAATATTTAAGGAAGCCTTAATGGAGACAACCGAAGGTATTATTGTGAATGGAGTAACCGTCAACAATATTAAATATGCCGACGATACCTTAGTCCTTGCCAATTGCGGATAAGACCTTCAAAATCTAATGAACAAAATAAAACAGACTTGTGATCAGTATGGATTAAAACTCAACGTTAAGAAAACTAAATATATGATAGCAAACAAAATTATATACAAGATGACGGTATAAAAGTCGGAGATGCCACACTGGACAGAGTAGAGAAACTCATGTATAAACTCGGCAACTCGTACTGCCGGTAAACTCGGCAGTAATATCAATGAGACCTGGGATCCAACCGCAGAAATTAAAAGCCGAATAGAACAAACCCGAGCTGCCTTTGTAAAAATGAGAAACGTACTTTGCAGTCACGATCTTAGCATTGACCTTAGAGTTCGTATGACATCTTGCTACATCTTTCCTGTCCTGCTGTATGGAGTGGAAGCGTGGACTCTAACTGAGGCTATGCTTAAACGCTTGACAGCCTTTGAGATGTGGGTATACAGACGACTACTGAAAATAAGCTGGGTCGACAGAGTTAGAAATGAGGAGGTCCTTAGACGGCTGAGCCAAACAACACAACTGGTCAATAAAATAAAGAAACGCAAGCTGGAATACTTCGGTCACATTATGAGACACCCTGAAAAATATGATCTTTTACATCTGATCATTCAAGGAAAGATCCAAGGTAATCGTGGTCCTGGTAGACGAAGAACATCATGGCTGAAAAATCTAAGGCAATGGTATGGAAAATCAACTGCATCGTTATTTAGAGCTGCTGTCAATAAAGTCACGATAGCGAATATGGTAGCCAACATGATATCCAACGATCGATAACGGTCATGGAACTAGAAGAAAAAGAATGTATTCGTGCCAAATAATTTTTTCATCCAATACTACTAATTATTCCCATATAACTAACCTCCTCGGTTGCTCTGTGACAGATATGAAATTACGGACATCGCTATCGTATAAAACAAGCTATCCACGAAACAGTTTTAAGTAGGTAAGCAAACAAAATTTCGCCTGTTTATATTAATATGGCTTTGATCAAAGTCCGCCTCAAAGCGGTTGTATGCATGAGAGGGTTAAGTGTATATAAATTTAATAATAAAGACTTAATCAATTAGATATTAATAAAATCATTACAATAAACTCGAAGATAGAAACGGCAACCATCGATCCACTACGAAGTGGATAAAATTAAGTACAGCAATTTACCTTGGATGACATAATATTGAATAGAACTTAATATCTAAGTATGTACAACAGTTAAAACTTTAGAGGCTCAAATCTTTTAGACACAATTTCGGTAATTATATTCATAGAGAGGGTATAATACTTATATAGGAAGCGTAATATCCTACTATTTCTTTGTAAAATCTACACAATAATTTGAAGAAATACTACGCAGAGTAATAATATTCATAAAAATATGCAAAACCAGTAGTTTAAAAATAAAGTGTAAATTTTTATTTTAAAAAAATAATTTTTTTGCACGATTATTTTTTTTGCACGATTATTTTTTTTTAGTTCAGAATGGCTGCTTATCTTCACTCTGATGTTTTTACATCTGCTAACTAATTATTGGGCTGTGAAATCTTTAGTATTCAGAACTTTCAATGAACAAAGACTGACATTGGTTTTAAAAAGTTATTTTAGTATTGGAACTGTTTTAAGTCCTGCGAAAATTAATGAAAGCGAACGAATTCTTCTGGGACGTGGAATGGATGGTAAGTAAACTCGGTTTCATCGTTCTTGGCGTGTGCCTGAAATAAGCTACTACGGAATTTTTTATATTCGTCTCTCTCTGATACACAGATGCGTAATTCAATTGTGCGAGTCACGTTCGTCATGGTAAAGTGCGATGTGAAGGGAATGAAGAGACCACTCACGTCTCCCAGTATTGTACCAATAACACCGATGCGTTTGGTCGATACGGTGTCGGTGATAAGTTCGGCCTCTTTACGAATACAGATAGCTGCCACTGGAGGAGGTAAACGAATCGAGCTTAGACAAGGAAAGACTGATGAAACAACTTATTGCAAGTGTTTTTACATGCACACGCCAAGAAAGATGAAAACGTCTATACTAACTTATTTTTACATCGGACATATCATGAATGCATTAAAAGAGCATTTATAATGGAAAACAGGTTAACAAAATAGTCAATGAATTTTACACATTATGAAAGGAAAGCTGAAATAAATACTGTTTTTTATAGTCTTATAAAATTTATTGATATACTCATAACACATTTTCATAATTGATGTGCATTCTCGTGCCAGCTACCTTCGTCACAATTATCTCCAGTCATTTATAGATGTAAAGGAAAAATAAATTCACTGTATGATATGTGCCACCTTTGACATCACCTGTCTTGATCTTGTTTTGTTGACTTAATTCTGACAATTTACTAGGACTTTTTCATGGTATTTTGTTGTTGTTTTTTCGGGTTATTTCAAAACTAATCAATAAATCATTTTGCCCTAAGGACACTGGTGGTGGAATGGCATGGTCAGATGCTGGAACACAATGAGACACCAAAATACCTCGGCGCACGTCTGGATAGAACTCTGTCTTATCGATATCACTGTCAAGATATCAAGAAAAAAGTAAGCGCCAGAACTATCATCCGCAAACTAACAAACACAAAATGGTGAGCACAACCACACACTCTCCATACCTTTGCCTTAGCATTATGTTTTTCTGCCGCCGAATTTGGAGCACCAGTGTGGGAAAACTCTGCTCACGCTAAAAACGTCGATGTTGCGTTAAATAAAACGGTTCGTATAATATCTGGTTGCCTGAAACCCGACACCTATCAAAGAAATCTACCCTATAGTTTGAATCGCTCCACCCGTTATCAGAATACAAGTTCCGTCAGAGATAGAACGAAAGAAGCAGGAGGCGGATCGAAATATATGGTGTATGACCACCAAGTTCAGCCAAGTAGATTAAGATCTCGGAAATGCTTTCTGAAGATCACGATCCCTTCCCGAAGAGCCAAAGACGCGCCGAATACACCTATGGCAAGCGTCAACTACAACACATTTTGCTCTGTCAAAGGAAATGGCTGCTGGTCACAATTTGCCGTATCCCACATGGAAAGCGCTAAACAGACTAAGAACGGCGTTTCACGTTGTTCTAGTAACCTGAAGAAATGGGGATACCAGGAGGACGATACCAGCGACTGTGGCGCGGTTCAGAATAATCACCATCTACTATCATGCACAGAGATGAGAGAGACCTGCACAGAAGAAGACCTATTCTTAGCGGATGACAGGACCATCTATGTGGCCAACCATTGGAAACACAAAATTTAAAGCTGTTGGTGTTTCGGACACGGAAAGTAAGTAAGTGCCCTAAAAGACTAAATGTATTTATTTTCCCGTAGTTTAATTAGTTAATAGTAGTTTTGTTGCCACTACTGAAAAAATCAGTAATACTAGATAGCTTCAACACATGTTTACTAGCTACTATATTCTCAGATATAAAAATAAACTCTAAAATTATTACAACATTCAAAAAACATTTTTTTAAACACTCATTATAGCAATTTGATAGAAAGGTTTTCACAAAATGTTATATTACAACTTAAACTACGAGAAAATGAATATCGTTAGTATTTAACAGGATAAAATTACTAGCAACGAAAAAAAGAATAAAACATGAATTTAAATATCTTTCAAATTTGTGATTAAATTCAATGATTTATTGATTTATTTTGAAATAACCGTGATAAAAACAACAACAAAATACCTTGCAATACAGTAAAAGATAATTAAAGTTTTAATCAAACAATAACATAACCTTAAAATATGAACATTCATAGTAAATATCTTAATACTTTGATATCCTTACCTCACACATTCACGAACAAAAAATAATACAAATCGCGCAGAATGAATGTTCATTACCAAAGGTCCTTATTTATTTTTCAAACGATGAATTGTTGGTTCTGAATGGTATACCATTATTTTTCATAAGAAGTCTGTAGATAATTGTGAAAAACCAACTACTGAATATGGATCATTCTCCAAGATAATTTAATTTAAGTAGTAAGAGTTGACTGGGTCATTCGCTGCTGAATCAAATTATTTCTTTTTATTCACAACGATCAAAAATATAATTTGCTAACGACGTTTCTGGACAAAGAATCTCTTGCTATTTTTAAAATGCATATTTTCGAGTTGCTTGTTAAATCATGCTCAATGGTGAGATCACTGACAGCCGCACCACAATTTGCTCATACGGGCAAATTTGTGTATATCAGTATTTCCTCCCAACTCGTGGGAACAAATATGGACAACAAGACAACATAAAAGAGATCAGAGCTCAGAGGAGGGCTCAGAAAAAAGTAACTATAATTACAAACACAACGGGAATGATCTGAGAGGCGACTTCAGAATCTGCTCCAAATACTCAGCCAGACGTTCCGAAAGGAACAAACTCTGCTCCAAATATTGAAAACACCTCTCTGAAGGTCAATGGTAAAGGAGCATGAAGAGAAAGGCAAACATTATTGTCGGGAGAATATTCTTAACCCCACCCACAACAAAGAGTTACTAAAAAACCAAAGAACTCTAACGAGCAGACTAGATCATATAGCAATGTCACAAAAGTATTTAGGATTGCGGTGGCACACATATATTCAAACAGATCTGATCGTCAACAAACTGGAACAAGCAGTGATGAAGCTCCTATAGGAACTCAGAATCAACTTCTGCAGTTTCATAAAACATCGTTTAGCGCAGGGACCCTGTGGGTAAACTGTGCCAACGAGTATTCAAAAAACTGGACTACTGAAGTGGTGAGGACTATAGAGTGTCTGTGGAGGGAGCAGACTTAAATGTAGTCGATCCCAATAATATGCCAAGCGCCCCATGGCTCTCACCCACCACCCCGAGAAAGAAGCTGATGAAGCAATTATCAGGAGCCTTCTAAGGAAACAAAAAAAACCTTAAGACGGAAAACGGCTGTACACGATCGACGAACTTTCCTACAAAGCATTCAGGACTGGTTATTTCAAGGCATATTCAGACTTTGAAAGGTATTATTCAAAACCATCAGAGGCCTCGATGGCTCCAACCAGAGCCCTGTATAGTGAAGCATGATGGCTACGCTAATCCCGAATCGCAGAAGTAAGTGATTTCATGGCCTTCGTAGATTATGATTTTTTCGATTTCATGACCTTCGTAGATGATTTTTTTCTATGACTATATATTACTTTAAATACCAAAACAATTGAAATAACCATATTTTAATGTATGTTTTAGTAAGCCAAATATGCGGTTTTGACATCTACACCGGTGTCCCATTAAAAAAGATTCTTCGTAATTGGAGCGCCGTTGATTTTAAGGAACTTGTGTCTATACATAAAGAATACAATTATTTGATTCTAGTCAATTTACATGTCAGAAAAATTTATATAATAATCAGCAAAGGAGAATCAGCGGAAAGTTTGATAGCAGCCAAGTTTCATGCTGTATGCTTGGCAATAGCTACCTGCATTTTTAACAACATATATCTGGTAAGGACTTAGTAATAAGAAAATATTGATCTTACTTGTTAACTAATAGTTGATTTACCATAATTCAAATCATCATTGTGCTCTACATTCCAGAGATCACTATAAAACATTCAGTCTAATCCCTCTGTCTGGATTTGCATATTACGTTTCACAATTTATCCACGTAAGATTTCGATTGCTACTTTTTTGTAATTATAATACTTATATAGCATAATTTCTCACAGTGATTGTACTATTCCATTTTTGCTTATTTAATGTTTCACTTTAATCAGTTTAATTTGATAGATTTAACAATACAGTAATACGGGTTTGATGTTTGTGCAAGTATGATCTGAGCCTCCATATTCACAAAATGTTATCAAATATTTTTCATCGGATTGGAATCAAGTCTACCTATCTCAATTAATAAAATAAAAAAGCGGGTTCAACCAGGATTTGATTCCGGAACCTTACCCTTAATTAGAGGAAGTACAATTTATCCGAGAGGGGCGGCTCGTGATAGTACAAGATGGTGAGGCACACTACACTTAAGGAAAATTATTATTATTATGGTTAGCTTCTCTTTGCTCCAGTCATACCCGGCTAAGAAGGCATTGCTCGCGCCAGCAAACAATGACTTGGCGTGAGAAGGACTTCTGACGATACGCGCGCGGATCAACAAAAGTCATCCTCACCTCAAAGCTCTCCTAAGCCCTCCTCCACCCTCTCTTATGTGCACTGAAGGTGCAACATAAGGGCTGACTGCTTTTTGAAAAAGTCCGCGATTGAGCTGTATTTATGAGCACCATGTGTAATAGGGTGCTCATAAATGTAACTTAAATCATACCCAAGGTGTCATTAAGCGACTTACTCCCGTTTATCATGAAATCTCATATCGTGAGATAAAAGCGAACGAAAAACGAGGGAGCTGTAATCCTCGAGCCCGCACCTTGGTTAGCGGCCAAGTTGTAGCCTCAAGGATCTAGGTGGCCTCTCCCGTGGCCTTTTTTTATTTTTATAATTTTTTTGTGAATTTTTTATTATTTTATATTTTTTTTTGAATTTTTATATTTTTTATTAATTTTTTTGAGATTTTTATATTTTTTTGGGGGTTAGTAGATATTTTTTATCTGGGAGATTTGTTAGTAAGTGTTATAAATGGCGACTGCTAATCTAGTGCCATCTTCACGATCAAATTTGATAGATAAAAATTCAAATAAATCTTGAGCAGAACGCCCGGAACTTACATCGTAAAATCCCATGAATCGTTCGACTGGTTTATCGTTTATTACGTAACGAAAAATAACGGATAGTTGTGAATGGCAGCTTATATCAGTAGTCTCATCCACCTGCCAGGAAAAGAATAATGATTTTGAAATTTCTTCCTCAATTTTTTTATTTATAACAAAAACAATTGAATCGATTAATTCATTTTGTATGGTTTTAGATGTCCCAGAAAAAACTGATCTAGAGTCATTATCATGTTCTAAAAATGTTTTTAAATTAGTGTCAAATTTACTAACACGAACAACTAGCTCTTTGAAATTCCCACGATTTAAAGATTCATTAGATTCATCATGCCCCTAAACGGTAACTCTTGCATACAGAGGTGTAACGTAATATCTATAAGGCTTTTTAAAATTTGCCGATTTTCTTTAACCCTAGCATTGAAATTTTCAATATCTATTTTTACGCGGAATTGTCTAGTGCTGTGGCGATATTTTGCTTTTGTTTTCTCATAAAAGTAAGCTTGCAATTCGATGTAATATGTTGAGAACTTTTATTGTGTAACAATAGACTCCGAGACAAATGTTTCAAATCAGTATAAGCACTTTTGAATCAAACTTTGTCGCTAGTATTAGCTGTGGCAAATACAATGCATGGCCAACAAAACAATTTATTTAATGTTATACTACCCGTAAGCCAGTCAAACTTTTCGTACCATGCATTTTGAAATCCCCGATTTGGTTTTCCGACGCCACCGATAGAAACAAGATGTTTACTTAAATCTGGAATAGGTCGTTTTACTACTTTAACTATATATAATTTATCTTCATATGAATGACTTGAAAAATTCTGCTGGTTGACTAAAAAATTTACGAGATCACAAGTATTACGAATATTTACATTTACCTGGGAAAGTTGTGACGAAGTGCTCGGTGCTAAATCCATTTTTCACTAAAACCGAAAATCCTGCAGACAAAAACAAACCCACCAAAATTATTAAAAAAACTTAACTAGAATTGCACTTATTATATAACATGTAATCTTACCGTTTTTTTTTAATGAAAAACTGGGGGCTTCTTTATAATTGGAATTTTTGTTGAAACAGAACTATAAATTTTATTACAAAATAAGTCTTGGTCGAGTTTACCGAAAGTACAAGCTGAATATAGCTGCAAATGTCAAAAATATTTCGGTTTGGCAGTTATAAAGCAAGAGCAAGAGATAAAGCTTTTAAAAAGTACATTTTGATTATACTATTTTATGAATTCTGCTATTTTTTATATATATGAAGCAATAACGAGTAGATATTTGTCTCTTTCGAGATTAATTGCAACCATCTGTTTGCAATCTGGCAACTGCTGATTTGACGATTGCCAAATATATCCCCTAATCTATCAAAGGGTAATTTCCAAAAAAAATTCTAATAATTAACTGCAATTAATCTCCAAAGAAACAAATATTTACTCGTTATTTTGGCATATAAATTAAAAATTGCAGAATTAATAACATACCTATTATAAACAAAATGTACTTTTCTAAAGCTTTATGCTTTAAGCTTTAAAAATATGCCAACACTGCTATGCCGAAATTTTTTGTTCCATGTTTGACATTTGCGGCTATAATCAGCTTGTACTTTCGGTAAACTCCACCTAAGTCTTTATCTTCTTCGACTGCCTTGTAAAGACAAGTTGAGAAAATGATTTTTGCCGCTAAAGTCAGCGTAATTCGTAGTCTGACGTCAGCAGTTCAGGCTTAGCCCGGCTACTTTGCGTTGGGCAAAAGGCTGACTTCGACAGTTGCTGATCCGAAACTGTTTTAGTAAAATATTTTTTCTTCTAGTTCTATGACCGTTATCGATCGTTGGATATCATGTTGACCAAAATATCCGCTATTGTGACTTAATTGTCAGCAGCTCTAAATAAAAACGTAGTCGATTTTTCGTGCCATTGTCTTAGATTTTTCAGGCATGATGTTCTTCTACCAGGACCATGTTTACCTTGGATCATTCCCTGAATGATCAGATGTAAAGTTTAATTTATGTTTTTAGGATGTTTATGATAAGAGGCAACGAAATCATCGTACTCCCATTACGAAATTGCTCAGCTTCATGAGAGCATATCAAACTTCTTCTATCTTAATGAATATTCCGTTCAACCATCTATTGGAGCTTCAAGAATTTATCAAACAGGAGTATCAGATGTTTTATACTGCTCTGCAAGTTAATGGTAAGAGATATTTCATAATATCAACAAAACTGTTTTTATTTTATAACTTACAATGATAAAAAACGCCTAATGAAAATATAAAGTAAGTTATTTTATATAAATACTAAAGTAAGTGTATAAAAGTAACATAAAGCATTAATATCTTGATTTAGGATATGTCTACGAAAAAGATTTTCAATATTCATATTAATGTAAAAATAAAATCGTTTAAAGTTTTAAAAATAATTTTTTTTTTCTTAAAATAGAATTTACAAATGAGTTTATGCTTTTTATTTGCACTATACTGTATATTTTTAGTATGGTTAATGCACGGATGGAAGAATATGCTTTTTTAATTTTTTAGCTGTTTATCCGTTGGTTGTGTATTTCCCATACATTGGGAGATACTTGTAGACGTTTCGTCAAAATCACATTTGAAGTGTTCAATGCTTTTATTACCAGGTAGGATTAAAAATTGCTTGTTTTTACTCCAGTAATAATTTGTACATGTTTCCCAGACAAGAGTGTGCTTTTATTTGTTTAATTTTATTTGCAATACAATACATATACTGTCTTTTCGATCTCGTTAACCGACCTACATGCTTGTCGTATATACTCTGTAAATAGGGCGGTACCGGCTTTGTTCACAATTTTGCGTGATTTCTTTATATTGGTGTGATAGGGGAGTCGAGTGAAAGTTGATAGTAAGCTATTGTTAAGGTACCTTAAATGAAAAGTAGCAACAGTTAAAACAATTGGATCAACCCTAAAGACAACATCTCTTGAGAAAATCAAGGAGTCTGTAACATTTCCTATGTATATATGATGAAAAGGGACAGAACAATCGACGAATACCGCTCGACTAGAAGAACAGTATAAATATAAGAAACAAGCAAATAACCTCAGCTGTCAAGTGACAAGCTGTCAGTCAAGTGAACGAAAATATTTATTTTGAAAGAACAGAGATACTTTTCTTGGTGCATATTTGCACACTGAATATAAATCCGTAATAAAAAAATAGATACATTGCATTTTAGTCTTCAGAAAACCGCCGAAAAGTCTTTAAAACACTCAAGAACAGAAAATGTGCTGCTAGGGCGATATGAGAATTATCATGTTTTCACTAATGCTGCACACTTTTCCAATACCAGCCTACTAAAGCGCCTTCAAAAAACTGAGAATCAAACACAACAATAAGTGCCGTTAGAACTGCACAAGACATCTCATGTTTTCACGCATGCAGAATACATACCTGACCTCAGCTTGACAACAGCACCATATGATTTTAAAAAAAATTCTGAATCATTAAGAAAAAATGAAGAATCGCGGCATAGACACTTATTGCATCGATAATACCTAAAATATCAATCATGTTATTACGTATACAGAATTTCTTTAAAATTTTTTAGAAAAAAAAATTCATCAAACAGCCAGCTAAGGTAACAAAGTTCTTAGTCCGACCAATTAAGATACTTACTTACTTACTCCGTGGCGTTACAACCCTTCGTGGGTTTTAGCCGACTCGACAACATGCCTCCACTGTTTTCTGTCTTGAGCAACCTCCATCCAATTCTCCACGCCCATAGTGCTTAGGTCTCCTGCTATATTATCTCTCCACCGGAGACGAGGGCGTCCGCGTGGTCTCCTTCCAGTTGGGACTTCCTCCCACACCAATCTTACTGTTCGTTCGTCAGAATGTCTTCTGAGGTGTCCTGCCCATTGGAGTCTTCTGGACTTTATTTCTTTTATGATGTTGGCGTCTGGGTAAAGTTCTTCAAGCTCTTTATTAGTTCTTATCCTATATTGTCCTGATGCTTCATCAACCACCGGACCAAAGATCTTCCTTAGGATTTCATCTGGCATTGTTTCTTCTTGCCAAATGTCTTGAATTAGCTTGTATATCGAACTGTACAACGCTTCTCCATGTTTTAAGCACTCTGCGGGTATACCATCGCTACCTGGTGTCTTATTATTTTTGAGTTTTTTAATTGCCTGTATTACTTCTTCGTATGTCGGGTATTGGTCTTCTATTTCAGCTTTATGTACCTCTATGTTTGATGTACTTCTGCTAGATTGGTCATTCAATAGTTGATAGAAGTATTCCTTCCAGGTTTTTAAGATTTCCTTGTCATCAGTGATAAGCTGTCCACTGTCGTTTTGAAGAAAGTTTCCTGTTCTTGCTTGGTACCCGGTCTTGATATCTGAAACTCCTTTAAAGAACTGCCTCGCTTGTTTGTTCTTTCTTTTTTCTTCTATATCTCTGATTATTTGTTCCTGATACTCTCTTTTCTTCCTTTTCATTAGTTTTCTTGTCTCTGTTCTTTGTCTATACATTTCATTGTTGTTGTGCGAGGGGTTTTGTAGCATGTTCCTTCTAGCCATATTTCTTGCTAATATGGAGTTCAGGCAATCATCATTGAAACATTTTTTTGTTGTTTTCTTTTTGTGTCCTAGTATTTCATCTGATACGCTTGTCAGAGCTACTTTGATATTTTTCCAAGCTGAGTCTATGTTGTTATAGTCTTCTGTCTGTGCCAGAGCGATTTTTATAGCCTTTTGAAATTTCTGTTCTGTCTCCTTATTACGGAGAACTTCCGTATTCCATAATTGTGTTGGTGTATTCTTGTGTGTTTTTTTGGACGCTATTCTTGTCCTTATCTTCGCTTTTACAAGAAAATGATCCGTGTCTCCATCAGCTCCTCTTAGGCTTCTTACGTCTAGACAGTTACTACCCCTCCTGGCATCTACTAGAACATGATCAATCTGATTTCTTGTGACGCCGTCGTTGGAGACCCATGTTTGTTTGTGTATATTCCAAATTAAGATGACCAATTAAGATGCTAGATTTCTATTGTTTATGGCAAATTCGGGTTTAAGTTATCTTCAATCTGTATGTTAAGATTCGGCTGATTTCGGTTAGATCCATCATAAGTCGTGATAAGTAACGACCTATCGGGATACTTACTAGCACCCACAGTTCTCGCACCAGATTAACAGGTACAGTAGTATCATCAATCATGTAGGAAATGAATATTTGGTGTTTTGTCTTCTTCTTTTGGTGCCTATCCTCTGTGGATGTTGACAATCACGTTGGTTCATACAACTTTGTTGACAGCTGCTGTAAATAGATGTATGGTAGTCATTCCTGCCCACTGTCTGATGTTATTCAATCACGATGTCCTTCTGCGCCATTGAGATCTTTTGCCTTGTATGGTGCTTTGTAGCTTGTCGAAACCTAGAAAATATTCGAACTCTTGTGAATCCGAGTCTTAAAGTCTTAACATGTCACCAATAATCCCTCATTATTTTTGTTACAATTATTAATAAAACACGAAAATATATT